TTGGCTTGGGGATATACGCACTTGGTGTGTGATCGATACATTTTCTAACACCTTAGGTCTCAGGAGAGCTGGAGAGGGCCGCAGAGGTTGTATTCGAGTGGAAGGCTGAGGTGGGAGGTCAGGTAGGGGTCTGGGCGGCCTACACGTGTGCAGTCCTTTTTGGGTTGACAGTTGCTCAGTGCATGACTTGCCCGGGAGGGGGGGGGGGGGTCGAGGAGACAATCTAGTTATACGCGCGGCCACACGTGTAGGCGCGTTTCTTAGCTAAAACGAGCGCCTGCACGAGTAGACGCTTATATTCGAGCTCGCCAAATGCGCATCTGCACGTGGAGGCGCTCATGTTAGCTAGGGCTCGCACCTGCACGTGTGGGCGCGTATCTGACACAAGCACCTACACGTGTGGGCGCGAGCCTTGGCTAAGATGCGCGCCTACACTTGCAGGCGCTTATTTTTGCCGCACTTTCCGGGGTTTGCCACCTTGGATGTGACCATTTGCGCAAAAAGGTACATGTCGGTGCCTTCCAGAGGCAGCTGCGACCCCGCCGAGTAGACGGCGTCACACAGCAGGTGGCGCGGTGTGACGCCGTTCACTCAGCGGGGTCGCAGCTGCCTCTGCGCGTCCTGGGGATGTACCTTTGTCGCGCGCCGGAGACGACTCGACACCGCCGAGATCGGTGATCAAGCTCTGACAGGTCGCACGTCGCTCCTTTGACGCCGACGTGACTCAGCCCGTGCAGATCACATCAGGACACGGTCTCGACGCGCTCGGTACGACGCCTGCGACCCGTCTCGGGTCAGGTGGCACGACGCTCATCGCGCCCGCCAGCGCTGCCATGCAGGCTGCCACGACGAGGTCGAGCACGCTTCTATATGCTCGCCGAGCCTTCCTTTCCATCCCATTAGGTAGCCTGGGAACGGTGGCGGTCAGAGGCAAAGCCTACGAGGGGTGGTGGAACCACATGTCACGGCTACTGCCGGCTCGACCCCACGATAGCCTCCGAAGGCTGACTTTGCGGCACCATCATCGGACGATGTCGACGAGTTGGGTCGCTCTCGCGGTAGCCAGATGACCTCTCATACTAGCATCATCGGCCATGGCCGCAGGGAGCGCGGGGGAGGGCGCTGGGAGCAACACGGAGCTCCGTTGGACGTTTTCAAGATTAGCGTGTCAGAGTGTGAATTGGCACTAGCCACAGGGTCACAGCTCACACCCAGGTCACGCGGCATTTTGAGCTCGCACCGAAGCCGAAAGAGACCAATCGCTTATCGGCGGGGCGTCGGCTCCAAAGACGAACGAGGAGGCAGGAGCATGTTCCATTTTACCGGCCAACCCTCCGGGCAACCAGAAGGCATTCGCGAGATAGGGGACGGTACGTAGAGCCGTACCGCCGTCTGCTATTATGAAGAAGAGGCTCTGCCAGAGAAGGAGGGACTCGTCAACTATCAAGACTTTCGCGGATATGGTCACCAAGGGCCGGTCATTCCCTGCTATCACACCAAGCCGTCGAGCGTCGTTCCACATCGCGACTGGAAACATCGATCTGGGATTTGGAGACGGGCTCGCTCGGTGAATGGGGGGGCCTGAGATCTCGAGGTGCCGATGGCGGCAGCTCAAGATCTCTATCTTCAGTTAAAGATCTCTGAGTTTTGTGAGAGATGCTGTGTGTGGAAGATCTCTGATCGGCATCTACGATCTCCACTCAACAAATCTACTGGTGTCCCGCAGAGATCTCGATGTATGGAGACCCGTGTTTACTTTACGGCCCTTGCCCTGCGAACGCGCACCCCCGGGGCTAGGGCTCTCTTGCCCGCAACCCGATCCCGATCATCCGGCCCGCCTGGGTGCGCTCCTTAGCTCCCCGCACCCCGGCCCTGGATGTGAGGCTGCCAACTGCACTCCAAGTGCTCCAAGTGCGTCACAAACACCGTCCGCGAGATGGGCGCGGGTGCCGGGTGCGACTGGCCCTGGCGCTTGGGGTATGAGAAATCGGAAATGGCTACCTACGCGAAAAGAAGCGGGGCGGCGCAGCACTGAAAAGTCAAAAGAAACCACCCGGGAATCACGCTCGACACCTGCTGCGTACACGCGCGCATGGCGATCGTGAACGGCTCCTTGGACAGCGGACATGGCATTTGTGCCTCTCTGAGACGACTGGAGCAATCCTCGCAAACGCAGTGGTGCCCGCACGGGACCCACGACGTGCGTGATCGGCTCGATCATGCACACGACGCACATGAGTGGTTCAACCTCGCCCACTGCCGTTGCCGCCGTCTCAGCAGCGGCCGCCGGCGCCTCGGCAACCTCAAGCGCTGCGAGGCGAAGCGCCGAGCGCCGACAGCTCCTCGTCCAAGGCGTCGATCGCGCCCGCGTGTGGCGTGGCGTCGTCGATCGCGATACGCGCAACGCCGCGGCGCTGTCCGCGCTCACGAGGCGCTGCAGCGCGGCCAGCGCCTCCGCTCCGACGCTGCCTGCCCCTCCGCCTCCGCCGCCTCCGCCGCCCGCCGCCCGCCGGATCAGCGCCGCCGCGTGGCACTCGCGTCCTCACTCGGCCTCAGCGCGCCACCGCGTGCGGCAGCACGTGCTCGCGCCACACGTCGGACAGCGCGCTCCAGTCCGGGCGCGCCTCGGCGCCGTCGGGCGGAGAGAGCGCGATCTGGTGGCCGATGCGCATGACCGTTACCGCGTACTCGCGCGCCGCCGCGGGGAAGAGCGAGTGGCTTGCCGGCGACCACGGCGCCGCCGCCCGCCGGATCAGCGCCGCCGCCTCGCCCTCGCCGCCCGCGGCGCGCTGCAGCGGCGTCGGCTCGCCCTCGTGCAGGCTTGCGCCGCTGCGCAGCAGGGAGAGAGCGCGGGCGGCGGTGAGGGTCTCAAGGTGCGCGAGCGGCGTCCAGCCGCGGCTGGCGACCAGCCAGGCGGCGAGGTCGGCGTGGCCGCGGCGGTTTGCGGCCACCTCGGGCGTGCTGCCGAAGGGCGGCACTGCGGCGCGGGAGGCGCCGTAGGAGGAGAGGAGCTTGGCGACCTCGAGGTGGCCAAAGCTGCACGCGATGGACAGCGGCGTGACGCCTCTGGTGTTGGCTTGGCCGACCGCCGCGCCAGCCTCGAGGAGCAGCCGGGCGACGTCGAGGTGGCCTTCCGAGCACGCAACGAGCAGCGGCGTGCGGCCTTCTGAGTCTGCTTGGTTCACCGCGGCGCCGGCGGCAATCATCAGCCGAACGCAGTCGACCTCGCCAGCCTCGCACGCAACGCTCAGCGGCGTAATGCCGTCAGTGTTAGCTTGGTCGACCGCCGCGCCAGCCTCGAGGAGCAGCCGGGCGCACTCGACGCGGCCCATGTCGCACGCCATGTACAGCGGCGTGGAGCTGTTCTTGTTGGCCTGGTTGATCGCTGCGCCCGCGTCGCGCAGCAGCTTGGCGATCTCGAGGTGGCCTAAGTGGCACGCAACGAGCAGCGGAGTGGCGCCGTCCTCCTCGGCTTGGTTGACCGCCGCGCTGGCCTCGAGGAGCAGCCGGGCGCACTCGGGGTCGCCCGTCGAGCAGACGATGAGCAGCGCAGAGCGGCCGCCGCCATTCGTCGCCCCCACGCTCGCTCCAGCTTCGAGCAGCAGCCGCACCGCCTCGGCTTGCCCGTGCCGAGCGGCCCAGGTGAGCAGCGTGTCCTGCTTACGAGTCTCGAGTCGCGCGTCCCCCACCCGGAGAGGGAGGCGCGCAGCGCGGCCAGGTCGCCCACCGCCAGCTCGGGCAGCAGGGCGGGGCTGCTCATGCCGCCAGAAAGAAGAAAAACGCCGGCTCTCCGAAAATTTTTTAAAACTTGCGCGTGACATACACGTATTGAGGGCCCCAACCCGAGCCCCCGGGGCGCC